CACGACATCGCCCTTAATAAAATACATTTACATACCTGATACCTGTTTACTGTAAGTTGAAACTCCCTTAGCAAGGTTGATAGGAAAGAAGAGGGTTTCACTAAAGACTGAGATGTAGTAACTAGCCAGACGGCACCAGAGAGACACAAAGAGCAGTTGCAATGTTAACAACAATATGCCCTTTGTCATTTGCATAAAATTAGTTAAAGATTTCAATAGATCAAGTAGATCAATTAACACTTTTGATTTACTAAGAACAGGTCAAACAGTTTGTGGACCTCGAGACCGCTGGTGTTTTCCGAAGGGGAAGAATTAGGCCCCGTCCACACTAAAGCGTTTTCGTTTGTATCCGTTTTCAATAGGTGTGAAAACGTATAGATTGAACTGCGTCCACACTAGCGTATTCAAGCGTATCAGTGTGGACAGTTGAAAACACAAATACGGTCATATCGATCAAATTACATGTCTTCTTCGATAAAGAAAACTCAATAAAACCAGAAAAAAACTGCTCAAGACGCTTTCATCTGGACAGATGATGAAGTTGAACTTCTGTTAACAGTTGCAATAACGAGTACTGAAGGTTTCAAAACGCGCGAAAGCGTGGATTGGGAGTCAGTCCAAAGCAAATGCAGTCATTCTCGAACGATTCAAAAAAACACATTCCATCGACAGAGGAAAAAAACTCCCAATCTCTTTCATCTGGAAAAGACTTGCCACAAAGCAGACGATATTACTAAGAATATTTAACTACAAAACTTAAATCTATAAGACCAAGGGGAACGATGACGTCATCGTTTTCAAAAGGAATCGTTTTCGCTGTCCACACTGACCGGGATGCCGTAGCGTTTTCAAAACGCTTCACTTTCAACAGCGTTTTCAAAAGGCTCCGTTTTCGATGAAAACGCTCAGCGTTTTCGAGCGTATTAGTGTGGACGGAAGGGCAAAACGCATACTTTTCGATTCGTTTTCAAACGAAAACGCTCTAGTGTGGACGGGGCCTTAGTTTTATGCAGTTTCTATTGGAGGGCCAGGAATACCGTCAAAAGAGTAGCCTGCGAAAGAGACTATTCAGAATACAGTGATAATCCGCATATAAGTATCAACATGTTGTTTTGTTGTGAATAATGTCAATAATCGCACGTTCGTGTTTTTTGCGGAAACTATATTGTGAATCACAGCATAGTACATCATATTTTTCAAAGAACTTTGTAAGGCGGTTGTATATAATTTTCTCAAATACTATATTAAAGATGGATAGAAGCGAGATTGGGCGGTAGTTTTCAGTATCACTTTCATCATTTGACTTGAAGATTGGGGTAATTTTTGCAAGTTTTAGTTTGTTGGGATATATTCCCATTTCAATGGAAATGATGGTTGGCTAATTTTAACCCGATATCCGCAAAGTAATTTTTCATAATGCCTGTCACTTATGCAACTACTGTCAAATTAAAGTAATTTTATTTGTTTTATCTTTCAGATATTTTATTGTATTTGATTTACTTCGTTTCCGCGCAATTAGCTCATTGATTCCTTTCCATGTTTGTTTAATGTTATTATAGTTCGTTTCAAAATAACTTGAATAAAAGTTCTTTTTGCTTGTCGTATAAGAGATGTTAACTTATTACTTCTTTCCAGAACGACTGCAAATGTTCATCACATGTCCATAGTAAACTAGTTAAAGCCAATAAAGTGCCTACACGTTTTGAGATCGCTACGTAAAGAAGTCTATACTAAAGTTATTAGACCCTGTATTATATGATGATGTANAATTTTGAATACATGAAGCACCGTTTGCTGTTCTTCAATTCCCGGACGGCTTTCTGAAACAAAAGCTATTCAAATTGTCTTTGTCTGCTATTCATGTCATTCCTAATGAGCATAATCCATAAGATTTATAAGTATGTTATCTTCCGAGGAATCGCATCAGAAACTCGGTGGTGTAATGGTATAAGACGACGCATATAGACTAGACGGTAGGGGATCGAGTCGTGAGGGAGTCATGTATCAAAGACCTTTTTTCACTAAATTAATGTTAAACTGATTATTTCTAATAATTTGCTTATCATTAGCTAGTAGTAGTTGGAAACATGGTAGAAGTAACTGGAAATAAGGTAGAAATAGCTGGAAATAATGTAGAAGTAACTTGAAAAAGGTAGAAGTAACTGGAAATAAGGTAGAATACAAGGTACGAGTACTTCCTCTGGTTTCAAGTTACTTCACGTGGTACAAATTACAATCAGGGATTGCCTGAATACCTCATGAATAATTAATGAGTTTTTGAATTTCATTTGAAATCCTAGAAGGCGAGGTTCCATGAACGTGCCGTGCCGTGTCCGTGTTTTTGCACAGTCATACGAAATTCGCTCTATTTCAAAATGACTCAAGCATCATTTGGATTACTACTTACAACTATAATAGGAGCGACTTACTGAGAGGAAATTTTGAGGATGCGATAATGAATGTTTTTCTTTTTTTTTTTTTGCATTTGGCTACAAAGCGTTTATATACATAATTTTGATCAAAGCTGAATCGATTTGAAGTTTTGAGTATTTTTTCAGTGCCCATAGAAAAAAGGCTATGTTGGCCGTCACGTTAAAATCGTCCTCCGCCCCTTGTAGTGAAAAAAAAGAAAGCACGATGAAAGATACTTGGAAGTCAGGCCGACGAGTTGTCCCATATTTATACCAAACATCTATCTTGAACATGGCCAGAAAATCCGGACATTTGAGCCCGCAATCGCAGCGGTACTTCGSATAAATGCATAAAAACATGTTTGTAAATTTTACAAAGAAATGTATGGATCAAAAAAATATTTGAGAATAACATTTCATCTGTTTTAACTGGAAAGATTCCATAGATAGAGGGAAACTATTCTTGATTCCACTGTAGGAAATCCAAATAAATCCAATATTGTTAACAGCGTCCTTTTTGACAATTTATTTTCCTTTCGTCGTCTCCCTTTGRCCTTGTATCTCATGGTGAAAATTCGCGAAGAAGCGAAAGTTCACCGTAGCTGATCGTGTTCCTTTACATGCCACTGATATTCCATAGACGCGATATTGACAGGGCGTCAATCAATGCCATAACATCCAACATATCATCCTTCCATGCGCATGCTCAACACGAAATTAACCGTCATGTGGCCGAGGTGTTTTTTCCTTTTCTTCGTAGAAGGTGATGGAAAAATCCTCTGCTCGCAAGGTTTTTCAGCAACGATATAAGGTCACTACAACACGCAGTCTATGCACAGCTTCATCAACACATCAAAATTGCGTAGTGGTTAAAACCCTTTTTTCTCTAACAGAAAACGAAAACACGCAAAATATCCTACTGTTTTAATCAGAAATATAGAATGGCGCTTTACTATTAACTGTGAAAAGGCCGTTATGTTGGTTATAAGTCTTATAATATAATATTGAGTGATGCCCCTTTTGAATTTGTTACCAAATTCCTGAAATGGTTGTTCCGCAAAAGGTGTAAAATTCTCGTAATGCAAGCTTCACTTCGGTTCGCCTCCATCGACTACATTTCTTTTTCTTGTCCGCTCTTGAAGTAGATCAACAAGCCCCAATCAGGTGYCAGGTTATATGCGCGCGCGTTGTGATTGGTTTTCTAAAAATAGATTATCGGGACRCCTGATGRTGTCGATATTATAAGCGAGATGGACACTTCTGGCTATGTACTTCTKCATCTACCTAAATTAGTAGAGCAATACTTACCAGTACAGCAGTAAGCCAGGCATTCCGACAAAAGACAGAGTCATCATGAAGTTTTTCCAGTCACGTATAAGATATCCAACACCTGAAAAAATCATGAAACCAAATCCAAACGAAACCCAAACACCGTTTCCTACGAGAGGACGCTCCTTGATGCCAACACTTTCCAAGAGAATAGTTAGTCCACATGCAAGAATTCCAACTGAAAACGGAAATTGTTTAGTGTTAGCTAGTAAGAAGATAGAGAATCCAAGTCTAGTCAAATAATGGAMAAGGTTGATCTATATTTACATATCCCAAGTGATTGGAAGAAGAGCAGAACTGCAGCCATTTCATACACCGGCGAAAATCTCAGAAGAAACAATGTTGTTACTCCTATGAGTCCACATAAAAATAAGGCCTTTTTTCTTCCCAGCTTATCTGATATCAATCCTGCAGTGAAGGCGCCAACAACTCCACCAAATGAATCGATTAYCACTAGGTTTGGACCATAAGCTGCTTTATCGCACACAAGATCGAACTGAAAAATAATATGAGAAACTATAAATATTCTACGCTGTTTTAAAATTTGAAAAGATAGAAAATCATTATATTTTTTTACATTATGCTAGTGCAACGTCAAACCTGTGTGATAAGCGAAGTGTATTCATCCACAAACTTCCACTCTTTACGAGGTATTCCGCACCTGAAGTCGTAGCTCGGTTGACCAGGAAATATCGCTCCAGTTACATTGCACATTGTGCTGTTCTTTACACATTCCCAAGCCGGCTCTGCTGACAGCAGAAAAATACTGGCATCTGCGAGGCATGACCAACTGAGGAATGTGTAGATAATGAAAGCAAATAACAGTTTTTGGTAAACACCAAAGTTTCCGATTTTATTGAAGATGACATTAGTAATCGCCAAGCCACTATCTTCGTCGTCTTTAACAGCYGGATCATTGCTCATGGTACTGCTCTTTGATCTAAAGAATGAATTAAACTTTTTCAATAGAGTCACTCTATATTGTTTAGTATAGTATACTAACATTAAGTTAATCAGTTCGTGGCAGTTAGTCCATCGATTGTGATGGAACTATGGGGKAGTAACTATCAAATACACCTGGGGGGCCGTGAAGGAATGGGGAGGAAAGGAGYGGGTTAAGGTTACTGTGGCYCTTCGCGGCGTCCGTTCGTTAAAAAATCATTGGCGCGTTGGATCTCGCGCTTTTATAAAGTATTATATGTCATATGAAAGCTGAATTATCAGAGAATATGTCTATGTAGTTTTTATGACAATAGTTCTTATTCATAACGCGTTTCAACGCTCTGAACTAAACAAGGGTACCCTTGTTTGCAAGAGTTCAGTGTCAACACGTTTGGCTGTATAGTCAAAAGTACTGTACAATATAAGTCAACACATACCTATCTGTCAAATCGTGTGAGCGATTTTTAATATTTTACTTAGTTTAGAAATAAATCACAGTTGAATCGAAGAATGCAATTTAATTTTTTGGCGTAATTTGATATAAACCTTAATAAAACAAAAACCAAGACGTAATTTGAGAAACGCTCACACGATTTTCCTATTCATGAGTTKCATGTGCTTCTGGRAAWTTTTCAKAACATTTTACCGTAATCGCGAGGAACTGGACTCTTTTAAACTTCGCTACCCCGAGAAAAACACTAAACGAGATATCAAGCAATGAAGTTGTGTAAACATAGAATCATCATCTTTCATCGCGGTCAAGAAAGGTCAACCAACTGGCCAATTAGAAACGCGGCTCACCTGGTGTGACTGGAAATGTTCTTTATTTCGCGGCATATATGATATGATAACCTTAACCAGAAGCCCTAGCCATTGTTTTAGGCTTTTACTCGACACGCACCGCAACACAAATTCAAAAACTTACTAGAGAAAGTAATTAATTCAAAATATCAAACACACATCAAAGCATTTGCCAAATTGAAATTACCTTACAACCTAACATTGTGATCAACCATATATATAGTAATGTGGAAGTTTTACAGGGATTCCTATATTATCGGAACTGTTTTAAGACAATACCAACGGATAAAAAAGCCAGGCAAAAATGCTGTTATAATCATGTTGAAGGAGTAGTTCGCAAGTTCTTTCACGAATACGAAAGTCGACTCCCAAAACAAGGGATTCATAAAATGAAAGGAAAATGTATTGAATAATAACACATTAGAATCGAATAAAATATGAAAATAAGACCAGGTCAAAGGTTGAAATGATAACCGTCAGCAACTTACTATTATCATACTATATATCTATACTATACATTCACGACATCGCCCTTAAT